ACACACACACACACACACACACACACACACACACACAGTTAGAGCTAATAAATAAATTCAGCAAAGTAGCAGAATATAAAGCCAACACACAAAACTCAGTTGCATTTTTACATACTAACAATGAATAATCTGAAAAGAAAACCACTAAAATAATTCTAAGAATAAAATAGTTAGGAATTAACCAAAGAGGTGAAAGACATGTACAATGAAAACCACAAAATGTTGCTTAAATAAATTAAACATAAATAAATGGAGATACATCCTATGTTCATGGATTGGAAAACTTAATACTATTAAAATGGCAATAGTACCCAAACTGATATACAGATTCAATACAATCTCTACCAACATCCCAATGATATTTTTTGCAGAAATAGAAAAACCCATCCTAAAATTCATATGTAATCTCATGGGATACTCAAAACAAACTTGAAAAAGAATAGTCAAAACAATCTTGAAAAAGAACAAAACTGGAGAACTCAAACTTCCAGATTTTAAAACTCACAACAAAATTAGTCATTGAAACAGTGTGGTATTAATATGGCATAAAGATAGGCATACAGACCAATGGAATAGAACAGGAAGCCCAGAAATAAACTCTCACATATATGGTCATAAACTTTTTAACAAAGGTGCCAAGACCAATCAGTGGGGAAAGGACAGTCTTTTTAACAAATGGTGCTGGAAAAACTGGATATTCACATGCAAAAAAAAATGAAGTTGGATGCTTACCCTAACACCATTTGTAAAAAATTATCTCAAAATGGATAATGGACCTAAATGTAAGACTAAAACAATAAAACTTAGAAGAAAACATAGGAGAAAAGCTTCATGACATTGGATGAGGCAATGATTTCTTATATATAACCAACCCCAAAGGCATAGGCAACAAAAGAAAAAATAAATTGGACTTCACAAAAATTTAAAAATTTTATGCATCAAAAGACAGTATCAACCAACTAAAAAGGCAACCCACAGAATGGGTGAAAATATTTGTAAATCATAAATCTCATAAGGGATTAACATCTAGAATATATAGACAGCTCCTAAAATAACAAAAAAACAATTAAAAATGGCAAAAGGCTTCAATAGACATTTCTCCAATAAAGACATACAGATGGCTACTAAGCACATGAAAACATATTCAACATCACTGATAATGAGGGAATGCAAAACTACAATGAGATATCACCTCACACCCATTAGGATAGCCACTATCAAAAAAGGAGATAATAACAAGTGTTGGAGAGTAGGTAGAGAAATTGGAACCCTTATACATGTTGGTGGAAATATATAATGGTCTATCTACTATGGAAAATAGTATGGCAGTTCCCCAAAACACTAAAAACAGAATTTGACCCATAGGATCCAGCAATTATGCTTCTGGGTATATATATCTAAAGAATGACAGGCAGGGTCTCAAAGAGATAGTTGCACACCCATGTTCACAGTAGCATTATTCACAATAGCTAACACATGGAAGCAACCAAAGTGTCCTACTGATGCATAAGGATAAGCAAAATGTGATTGTGTGTGTGCGTGTGTGTTTACATGACATACATGTTGCATTATTATTCAGCCTTAAAAAGTAAGGAAATTCTGACATTTGCTACGACATGGATGACCCTTGAGGGCATTATGCTAAGTGAAATAAGCCACTCACAAAAAGACAAATACTGTATGATTCCAATTATGTGAGGTACTTAGGATAGTCAAAATCATAGAAACATAAAGTAGAATGATAAGGGGCACCTGGGTGGCTCAGTCAGTTGAGCGTCCGATTCTTGATTTCAGCTCAGGGCACAATCTCACAGTTCCTGGGTTGGGCCCCACAACGGGCTCTGTGCTGACAGCTCGGAGCCTGCTTGGGATTCTCTCTCTGCCCGCTCTTCTATGCCCCTCCCCTGTTTGCTCGCATACTCTCTCTCAACAATAAATAAACTTAAAAAATAGAATGATAGGGCTGGGGAAAATAGGAGATAGGGAGTTATTATTTAATGAGTACAGAGTTTTAGTTTTACCAGATGAAAGAACTATGGAGATGGATGCTGGTGATGGTTGCATAACAGTGTGAATGTACTTAACGCCACTAAACCACACATTTAAAAGTGACTAAGATGATAAATTTGTCATTTAACTTCTGCACAACAAAAATTTTAAAGCAAATTTGAATGAAATCAGCTGTAACCTAAAAAAAAAAAAAAAGGTTGTGCCAAAAATAGGGAAAAGCAGGATGTTCCATATTACAGAACCCTTTAAAAATCTGTATACATCAAATATGTCTTGGTTTTTAAATTAATGAACATATAAACTTTGACTATCAATTGCCTTATAACCACATACAAACATTGGATGTTCTAAAGAAAAACATGACTACATAAGTTTAGTTCCTGTAACATTAAGCTTTCACAAGCTAGAAACTTACAACTCTTAAGTCCTAGAGAAACAGAGGGTTATTTGGCATAAAAGACTGTGAAATAAACTAAAGCTAAAAATCTTAAAATACAAAAGATTTTTTAGATTAATGTCCTAATGGACTGAATGGAGCAGCCAGGTGATAAGTGTTTTATAGACTAAAAGAATTCTTACCTGGAAGATTACCCTTTGAGATGGTGTCTGTATCCAAATTGTAGGTGTCCTGGAGACGCAACAGAGCTTTGGCTGCCCCAACCTGATCTTCATCATTAGGGAAGTACTGTCTCTGAATGGTTAGGTTAGAGATAAAGCCTTGAAATTAAAAAAAAAAAAAAAAAAAAAAAAAAAAAAAAAACAAAACAAATACAAAAAGAAAAAAACAATGACTAGAACCTCACAGACTTCCAATCTGCAATATATAGTGTTTATAAGGATTTTTCAAAATTCATTTTCTTATAGTTTTCTACCATAACAAGTTCCACATGCTCAACAGGGAAAAAAAACAAAACAAAAACAAATACACTAAGATTTGAAATACCTCTAACTTACTCAATCTTCCCAAACCCTAATGTTGCTTAAGTAATCTGAAGTCATTGCATAAATCCTATCTGTATTAGGTAAAGATCAACATGATAACTGAGTTTTTAGTTACACAACATAGCCTCCACTAAGCTTGAAAAATGGGATTCACAGATTTGAAAATGACATCCACTGGCAACCAATTATACTTTAAAAAAAATTTTTTTTTAATGTTTATTTATTTTAGAGAGAGAGAGAAAGAGCACAAGTGGGTGAGGCACAGAGAGAGAGGAAGACAAAAAATCAGAAGCAAGCTCCAGGCCCGGAGCTGTCAGCACAGAGCCCAACGCAGGGCTCGAACTCACAAATCGTGAGATCATGACCTGAGCTGAAGTCAGATGCTCAACAAACTGAGCCACCCAGGCACCCCAACCAATTATACTTTCAAATAACAGATTGTAAGTAAAATATACACGCTTAAAGAAAGTTCTATTTTGGGGGCACCTGGGTGGTTCAGTTGGTTAGGGTTAGGGTCTGACTTCGGCACAGGTCATGATCTCATGGTTTGTTAGTTCGAGCCCCATGCCGGGCTCTGTGCTGACAGCTCAGAGCCTGGAACCTGCTTCCGATTCTGTGTCTCCCTCTCTCTACCCCTCCCCTGCTGATGCTCTCTAAGAATAAACATCAAAAAAAAAATTTTTTTTAAATAGACTTAAAAAACTAAAGTTGTATTTTCTTCTTCCACGTGCCACACACTATATAAATATGTAAATATGTAAAGTTTGGTGGAATTCCCTGAGGAAGAAAGAGATTTTAATAATATATTTAAGATCAAGTGAACTAGTTTATTAAAATATATTCAGATCTGTTAAATTATTGAGTAAAGTGATCAACCAAGATTTGCTCTATATAGAATCTGATCTTAATATTAAAAGGTTTTATATAAAATATAACAAAATCAAACTAACAAACTAATTACTGATAACTATATAATGCCTAAGGAGAATAGGTGCTAAATACTCCTTAAGGTTAAACCAAAACCAAAACCAAAACAAAAACAAAATTGATTTAAAATTTTAATATGTGTCAGCATTTGCAAATAAAAGTTGGGTATGGGGGCACGCGGGTGGCTCAGTTGGTTAAGTGTCCGACTTCAGCTCAGGTCATGATCTCACAGTTCGTGAGTTCAAGCCCCACATCAGGCTCTGTGCTGACAACACAGAGCCTGGAGCCTACTTCAAGTTCTGTGTCTTGCCCTCTCTCTCTGCCCCTCCCCTGCCCCTGTTCATACTCTGTCTCACTCTGTCTCTGTCTGTCTCTCAAAAATAAACATTAAAAAAAATAAATAAATAAAAGCTAGGTATGAAACTTCCCTTCCCTCTCATTTACTTATAATCAACTGTGTACTTTGATCAGCAAAAGGCCAAGAATTTGTGCAAATGAACAACTGGCTAGGAGAGGGCTAAAGTTCTCATCAAGCATATTTTTTATTTTTAAAACCAACTCAGTCACAATGTCCACACGGGATTTTACAAATTTTACAATCTTCTATGACCCAAAACAAAATCCAAGAAGTTGCTTAAATCCTTTCCAATAAAAAAGAGAAAAAATATACGCATTATAGAATTAAGGGATGACTACTACAGATTAAAATGTCAGTCTCAAGGTTTACCTTATAAAATAACTTAAGTCATAAAGGTCACTACTTGAGATTTTTTTTAATTAAGCGTGTGTGTGTGTGTGTATACACATACGTACATGACTTTAAAAATATTCTCATGGTGCTATGTAAGAGAGCAACTAACCACCAGTATTTCCCTCTTACCATGAAGAAATTTTCACAAGTGCTTGCCTTAACTTTTCTTTCCAAGGTTTTCTGTCCTACGCATAATGGTTTATTGCTCACAAACACTTGTAAGCACCCTTAGAGTATTTTCATTTGCATAGCTAGCTCAGTTTTCATCCTCTTTCTCCCTTTTTTTTTCATTCCACCTTTAGTCACTGAACAAATATTTGAGCCCCTACTCTAAGCATATTCCCTCTAGTTCTTAAACTCCAGACTTAGTTTTCTGTGTCTGTTACTAAAATATCTAAAAATACCTCAATACTCCAACTACAATTTTATTGTTCAATTAGAAAGACCTTCATTGTTACTGTTCGCAGCCTTCGTTTTTAAATTTACTGTTCAGGTAAAACAATTCTAAACTTCAAAATACTATGTGGAAAATAACTAACACTTTTCCTTATAGTACCACTCCCAATATATTAAAAATTGATTAGAAGATAGAGATTTACCCATAAATGTTTAAAGTCTGAAGCTAAACCTTTTCATTTTAGGAATTATTTCATTTAATTATTAATTATTAATGTAATAATTATTTCATTACCTTCAGTAATGAAGCTATATGCCAAATAATTCATTTTTATAAACTTCAAAGCAAAAAGCACCAATAACACAAATTACTTTTTTTTAGCCTAAAGTTTTGTTTTTATTTGTTTTTATTCCCTTTTTTTTTTTAAATCAAGGAATTCAGGATCTAGACTAACTTTAATTAAATCAAACACACCCTGCAACACTTCAATTACAACACTGAACACTTGATGTTCTGGGAACTGAATTCATCACTATTGGCATTTCCACAGGTGGCACCAATATTATCTTACTTTTTTTTTTTTTGGCTCATTATTCTTACCATCAGACTTACCATCTGATGTATCCTTAAGGACCAGATTCTCCAACTCACTCCATTCAGTGTTCAGACGTTTCATTAATTTGAATGCATTTACAGGATGCCCAACAAATCCTTCTGGATCTTTTGTTGCTGTGCTAGTTAGTCGATCTAATTTCTCTGCCCATCTGGAAATGTAAGACATATAAATGGAGCATACATACACTTAATAAGGAAGAACACAATTTAGTAAATCACTCAGAAAAAGAAAAAAGATGAGATTAGAGGCTTTTGAGTTAAAACTATATTTAAAAATTCTTTTTAGGGGCACCTGGGTAGCTCAGTTGGTTGAGCATCAGACTCCTGATTTTGGCTCAGGTCATGATCCCAGACTCTCGGGATCAAGCCCCATGTTGGACTCCATGCAGAGCATGGAGCATGCTTAAGATTCCCTCACTCTCCCACTCTCTGCCCTTCCTGAACAGTGCACACATGCACTCACGTGCACTCTCTCTTAAAAAAAGAATTATTTTTAAAACAAAATTATAGGTTTTTTAAAAAGCAAGGCTGGGGGCGCCTGGGTGGCGCAGTCAGTTAAGCGTCCGACTTCAGCCAGGTCACGATCTCGCGGTCCGGGAGTTCGAGCCCCGCGTCGGGCTCTGGGCTGATGGCTCAGAGCCTGGAGCCTGTTTCCGATTCTGTGTCTCCCTCTCTCTCTGCCCCTCCCCCGTTCATGCTCTGTCTCTCTCTGTCCCAAAAATAAATAAACATTGAAAAAAAATTTTTTTTAAAAAATAAAAAGCAAGGCTGTTACGGATAAAATCTAGCATGGTAGAATCAATATAATAAGGCCTTTCTTGTAGTTTTGCTTCTCGCAAATGGTTACAGTAAATGGAACTTATCTTTAAGTGACTGGAGGGGCACCTGGGTGGCTCAGTCGGTTGGGCGTCCGACTTTGGCTCAGGTCATGATCCCACAGTTCATGAGTTCGAGCCCTGCGTCGGGCTCTGTGCTGACAGCTCAGAGCCTGGAGCCTGTTTTGGATTCTGTGTCTCCCTCTCTCTCTGTCCTTCCCCCATTCACACTGTCTGTTTCTCAAAAAAGGAATAAATGTCAAAAAAAAATTTTTTTTTAAGTTACAACTGGATCTCTCTAGCAAGAGTCTAAAAATACGTCTCCCCACAAGTCCTTAAATCCAAATAACTGATTATTATTATTATAAATTCTGTTACATGTTCATTTAAATCAAACTTGTACAAAAATTCTACATGCAGTATCTAAAAACTATATTAGGAAAAACCATATCAATACTAACAATACTTATCACTATAATCTCTAGAATGGAGCCATAGCAATGAAGAATAAATAGAATTGGAAAACTGTTCCAGAAGATGACTTGATTAGGGAGATTAGAGGAAGACAGAAGAAATTAGCAACCATTTTTAGAAATTGTCAGTCAACCCCATAGCCATTTATATCCTTATCTCAATCCACGATCCCCTACCTGAACTCTTGTCCCAGGCCTAACTCTTGTTTTTTGCACTCCTATGTTAGTCATTTCAACTGGCTTTTTAAGACAAATGGCTTCCACTTCCACTCAAAGAATGTTTTAGCTCTAGAGGGAAAACATCCAGGTAGAGTCAGAATCGTAAGTAGAACACTTTGCTTACTTTTTTATTTGTTCTAATTTGTCCTCTTCTGCCTTAATATAGTCTTTCAGGGAAGTCACCAGATCTTTCTCTGTATGGATCAAATCAGTCATCTGACCTAAAAGGAGGAGAAGGAAAGGTCATCAAATACCTGCATTGATCAGCACAAGTATTTTAGAATAATTTAAAAATGATCAAGAATGCTTCATTCTTTGAGAAGATTCAACTAGCATTAAACACAGATATACTGGAGAAAATATGTTTTTTCCTCTTTTTTTTTAACCAGATAAAGACAAAAACTTTCTTTTTTCTTTTAATGTTTATTTTTGAGAGCGAGAAAGAGAGAGAAAGAGAGAGGGACAGAGCACAAATGGGGGAGGGGCAGAGAGAGAAAGGGAGACACAGACTCAAAACAGGCTCCAGGCTCTGAGCTTTCAGCACAGAGCCTGACATGGGGTTCGAACCCACGACTGTGAGATCATGACCTGAGTTGAAATCGGACACTTAACTGACTGAGCCACCCAGGTGCCCCAAAGACAAAAACTTTCTAATCATATGTTCCAATTCTAGTTTTCAAGCTACTTCATTTTGCAAATTGGACCATACTGGCAAATTGTTTCTTCGTCTAAAATTTTATTTTTAAATTACAAAATAACACTACTTTTTTCTTCTTCCCTACCTCTGCTCTCACTCTTTGTTCTTGAGACTAATTAGAATTAATTTTTTATTCAACAAAAAGTATACAGGGGGCGCCTGGGTGGCTCAGTCGGTTAAGCGTCTGACTTCGGCTCAGGTCATGATCTCACAGTTTGTGAGTTTGAGCCCGCGTCAGGCTCTGTGCTGACAGCTCAGAGCCTGGAGCCTGCTTCGGATTGTGTGTCCCCTCCTCTCTCTGCCCCCTCCCCTGCTCACACTCTGTGTCTGTCTCTCAATAATAAATAAATGTTAAAAAAAAATTTTTTTTAAGTATACATAAGTATACTTCACAAACAAAATTCAAATCATCTGTGTTTAGTTATTTATAATGGGATAAGAAGACTCATTATTTTATATCCCGAAATTAGGTGTCATAAATATAACGCTTTTGTTTTAGTTAGCACTACAATCACATAAGTGTAGAACTGGTCAACAGGATGAAAGAAAACATCTCACTAAGGCAGATGAAGTATGCATATAGGAAAACATAAAAGCATACATATTAAACATGAAAAATATTTCTGGGGGAAAGACATGTGGAGTTCATCATACATTCTATGTACTTTTGTCTGTTTCTCCTTTAACCAGTATGTTATTTTTGCAATACTTTTGTAATACTGTGTGTTAAAAAAAAGACTAAGTATGTATATTAAGTTATTTGTTGAGTGGACTCACTAACAAAGAATTTTCTTGGTATTCTTTTCTAAATTTTCATAAGTTTCTAACCTGAAAATGTACTGCTTTTGTAATCAGAAAAAAATGTAAAGAAAAAGTTAAATTTTAAAAAAGAGAGACTTGGAAAAGGGAAGGGACTGAGGCATACTTCAGTCTCTAAGAATACACTGTATTTGTTTTTACTGATCTAAAAACACTAAAAAAATGGAAAAATTTACATGCAAAAATAATACAAGCCAAAAAATAGTAAGACTTACCAATTGAAGTAAAAAAGCCTGGATGGGCCAAAGATTGGGGAAGTAGAATCCCTACAATTAAAATATACCAGATCATCTTGGAAGACTTAATTTTTCAGGTTCACACACCTACAAGAGAAAATATGGCCATTACTAAAAAAAAAAAAATAGGGTAGGAAAAGTTCTCAATCAATTTTTCCTATGAACAAATTGTAAGTCAGACCCTAAGGTTGCCTTAGATTGTTATTAACTCTTATAAATTGATTTAACAATTTAATAAAAGCAACTATCATTTTTCTTTTTTTTTTAATTTATTTTTATTTATTTTTGAGAGAGAGATAGCAAGTAGGGGAAGGACAAAGAAAGCAGGAGACAGAATCCCAAGCAGGCTCTGCACTCTCAGCACAGAGCCATATGCGGGCTTGAACTCCCAAACTGTGAGATCATGACCTGAGCCAAAGTCAAGAGTCTGATGCTTAACCAACTGAGCCACCCAGGTGCCCCTATTTTGCATATAACTAGAGTACTAACTTTATATTTCATGTTAAAGAAACATATAAATGACAATTTATGCTTAAAAATTCAACCCGAGTTTGTTTTCTCCTTAGTTACTACTATAATTAGAGTGATTAGATAATAGCACCTCTTTCAGATAGCCTGAAAAATAAGTGTTCTCTGTGATCTACATCTAAACCATGAATTTCCCATAAAATATACAACTTCATTAAAGTAACTTAATTTAAATATTACTAAAATACTTTCTAAAATGTTAGGATATGTTTTAAAGGGAAAAAAAAGGTTTCAGAGCCACTGATTAATCCTTCAAATTACTAACTTGTTTCATCTTTTTCCCACATGCCTTTAAATTTTAAAATAAATTTAATTAAAAGTTATAGATTTTGGGGCACCTGGGTGGCTCAGTAGAATAGGTGTTAGCTCTTGACTTTGGCTCAGGTCATGATCTCATGGTTTGTGGGTTTGAGCCCCGCGTTGGGTTCTGAGCTGGCAGTGCAGACACTGCTTGGGATTCTTTTTCTCTCGGCCCCTCCCCCATTTGCATGCTCTGTCTGTCTCTCTCTCTCTCTCTCTCAACTTAAAAAAAAAAAAAGTCAAAAAAAAGTTGTAGATTTTAGGGTGATGAAAACGTTCTAAAATTAACTGGTGATTGATAGTTGAAGAACACTGTAAAAGTACTAAAAACCACTGAATCATGACCATTAAATGGGTGAATTGTATGGTATATGAATTATATCTCAATAAAGCTGTTATTTTTAAAAAGTTGTACAGAATCCAAAAAGAATAAACAGACCTGTAGATTTAAGCTAGTAATTTCTCTCAAAGGACCTTGTGTTGAGGTTTTTCTATCTACTGTGTTCTATGTAAAAATTCTTAGCCTAGTACATAGCTGTGGATTTTTTTTTTTTTTTTAACTTGGCAGCAAACCCTTTCTTTCTTTTTCCTTTGCCACTGGTAGCACTGACTACTAGAATGGATTCTTCATGGCAGGTGCAAGTACCAACTATTCAGCAGAAAGATTTACCCTTCCTTCCCAAATGTCCTGATAGCACTCTTTTCTTGCTCCCCCACCATCACATACATGGACTTTTAAGTCCTCCTTATTACCTTAGAAAAGAATCAGTTACTATAACAGTACCTTTTGCCTCAGTAACAGGCTCGCATTTGTTACTCTTCTTGTCACCCTATTCTTCTGAGCAGGCACCTCTGACTCTTTCCAAGTGACTTCACCTAAACCAACAGGTTGAAGTTCACATTGGAAAGCTCCCTATTCGGCAAAAAAAAAAAAAAAAAAAAAAGGAAAAAGAAAAAAAAAACCTACTTTTCCTTCTTGAAACTCAATAAAAAATAGATCACCACAAAAACTGACATTCTGGAAGTACTCCTAAGTCTCCTCCCTTAAGTTTGCCACAAACTTCCAGAACCACACAGTAGTGAAATACACTGCTCTCTTGGCTACTTTATAGTAACTCTTTGGGAAGGCTTCTAGAATGCAGCAGATGCAGACACTTCCTCCCCTGGGCTCCTGCCAAAGCACAAGGCTTTTTCAAACTACTGGGCTGTCTGAAGAGTCTAGAATCTTCTCACTGTTTACACAGATTTCAGCCATAATTTTCTTCATGAATAAATGTTATTTAGAAAATACAAATGCTTTTGCTGTACTAATAGAAGGCTAATCAGAAATGTTGTCTAAACGTTTAACCCTGATAGGGAAGTTTAGATTTGTCAGGTAAGAGGTTATGATTTTTTCATAGCTAAAATATATTTTGTCACTAAAATTTTTTGTCATCTTTCACTGTCCTTAAACCTCTCAATGAATCAAGAACTATTAGTCTACAGATATCACCAAAGTTTGAAAACTACATTTTAAGAATGATAGAGCTTACATAAAAATTCAAATCATTAATCAAATGAAGAATAAATATACCTTTACCTTACATCATGCTGCAAATAAATTCTAGATGGATTAAAGAGCTATAATCAACAAAAAAACAACAAAAAGAAAAGTTACTGGATCTCTAAAAAGAGAATTTCTGAACTTTAAAAATGATACAAACAACCTATCAAAAGACAGATGGAAGTTAAATATGCAAAATAATCTAGGCTCAAATACATTTTAAAAACCCTATAAACTACAAACTAGGAAAATAAAGAAAATAGAGCTCATTAAAGGAGCTCATACAAATCAATAAGACCACTAAGATATTAATAGAAAAGTGGATTAAGAACACAGAAAGTCACAAAAGAAAAACTAAAAATAGTTAAACAAAAAGTTCACTGAGTAATCAAGGACTTTTTTTTTGTCCTTCAAATGAATAATTAAACAAATTTAACAAATTCACAATTAAAAATATTGATGGTGCTATATATATGTCAAGGAACTTAAAATGAGTATGTCCTTTAACTTTTGAATTTAAATAAAAACACAAATTTTAAAAATTAACAAACTCACAGTCATTGCTGGTGAGAATGCAAAATGGTACAGCCATCTTGGAAGACAGTTTAGCAGTTTCTTAAAAAATCAGACATACTCTTACCATACAATTTGGCAATTGTTTCCCTTTGTATATACCTCAAAAAGTTGAAAACTTATGTCCACACAAAACCTGCACATGGATTTACAGATTTCTTCATAACGGCCAAAACTTGGAAGCAACCAAAATGTCCTTTAGTAGGTAAATAGATAAACGTGGTATACCCAGACAATGGAATATTATTCAGTGTTAAAAGGAAATGAGCTATCAAGCCATGAAGAGACATGAAGCAATCTTAAATGCGTATTACTAAGTAAAAAAAAGCCAATCTGAAAAAGTTATGTACTGTATTATTCCAATTATATGACATTCTGGAAAAGGCAAAACTATGAAAACCATAAAAAGATCAGTGATTGGGAGATGGGAGGATGAACAGATACAGCACAGAGGGTTTATAGGCAGTGAAAATACTCTGTATGATATCATAATGATAAATACATCATTTATTTTTGGACATACATTGTCCAAACTCACAGAATATATAATACCAAGAGTGAATGGGTAATATAAACTATGTATGGACATTAGGCTATTATGATATGTCAATGTAGATTCATTAACTATAACAAATGTACCATTCTGGTGGGGGATGTTGAGGCTACACGTGTGGGGGTAGGGAGTATATGGGAAATTTCTGTACAGGTTCTTTGCTATGAACCTAAATTGCTTTTAAAAAATAAAGACTTAAAATAAATTAACATCATACAACTCTAACCCTGGTGGAATCTGTATTGAATGAGATTAAGTTTCCACTACTCTGACAGAAAGTCATAAATAAATACTGATCAAAACAAAGAAAAAACTTATCATAATATGATCATAACTATGCATGAAAATATGCAGAGGAAATTCACCAAAATGTAGTTGTCTCTGGAAAGAACATTAGGTCATTTTTTTTCTATTTCTCTGTATTTTCCAGATGTCCCAGGGTATATTTACTTTCATAGTGACAATATATACAAAATAATAAACCTAAAACATCAACTCCCATACTTTGTAGGTCACCCTAAGCTTTTAATGAAGTGGTTAACTACTCTCTAATACAAAAAAGTAGCTAACAAATACTATCCACATTACAGCATGTTCCATATTCTAACTCTATATGCCTCCAGATTTCTCTCTCTGCTACAAAGATAGTAAGCTTATATAAAAGCAACCCAGATATCCAGCCATGAACTACAATGTCAGAGTAGTATACTTTTCTATTATCCTTCCTCCTAACAGACATATGATGCAGGCTAAGTCAATCATTGACACTTATTCCCATGAACATAACGTCTCAGAGGTGGACTTGTGAAATGGTAAAAAGCAGCTCCTTCTGGAGTTGCTAAGCTCATAGGATGCAAATTGGGAGCAACACATTATGATCTTTCCCACTTGTCAAAGACACCTAGGAACCCAATCTATAAACAGAACAAAGTCGTGCAGAGATAATTCCAAGCTCCATAGCCCTGATTCTTCCAATTATTGCTTTGAATCTGTGAGCTACCCCAATAACATTCCAATCCAGCAAGGGAGCCTCTAAATTCCCTTTTTAAGGAATTTTAAGTTAGTGCAAGTTGAATTTCTGTCACTTACAATGGAAAGTTCAGACCCACACAGCATTACCAAACTACCATGCCAACTTAAACTAGTTAATAAAAAGGAAGATAGCCCTATAGAACAGTAGTTCTCAAACTTTAGCTATATCAAAATCACCTAAAGGTTTGAGGTACTTAAATAATTTATACAAGTTCAGGTGATGGTGATATTGATGGTCTGGGGATCACACTTTGAAAACCACCCGATACAAACAAATCACACAAAAGGTGCTCTCCACCTTTAAGACAGTAAAATTTTACTTCAACTTATTTTTTGAAAAATATAATTGAATTTCTAATTACTCTAGTGAATAGTCCTCTAATCTCTTTTAATACTATGTCTCATCCCCATTTTTTCAGAAACCTTAAGGGGTGCCTGGATGGCTCAGTTGGTTAAGCATCAGACTTCAGCTGTCATGATCTCACAGCTCGGGAGTTCAAGCCCCGTGTCAGGCTCTGTGTTGACAGCTCAGAGCCTGGACCCTGCTTCAGATTCTGT